AAGTAACTGGTGCAAAGTTGACGGCAGGAGATGGAGATACAAAAAGTGAGAGCAGAATAAAGATCAAAAACATTTACACACACGCACACACACACAGCGACACCAAGGGAGATAATGCTACCTTGACACGCTGGCAGCAGCAATCAGGGCAGAAGCAGGCAACGAAGCGTATAAGGGGAAGTGGGTGACTATGTGACGCTGCAGTTCCGTTATGAGACTGCACTTATCATCGTGTTTGTCAAGCGTCATCCCCAATTACTCCTACAGTGACAGCATCGATATAATTTCACTTGAAAAAGTCACTTTTTGCCATCAGCTTACGTCTGCAAATATTTTTTCATACAGTTTCACTTAAGTGAACGAGTGTTTGCAAATCAGGGCTCGCAGCATTTTAATACAAATACGTTCTGCGAATTTTAATGGCGCGCAATCGAACGAAAAACTTTTTTTACGACAGCACAAGACACACACGTGCACAGCAATCTCATTCCATCTACTGCATATGCTGATTTAATGAAATTGTCGAGATTTCGCTCCTTTCCGAGAGATTAAAAGTACTCATCAGCTCGGAGCTTATCCGAATTTCGGAAATGAAATTGTCACCATTTCGAGCACGAACTTTTTATCAAAGAATTGTAGAACCACTGCAAACCGCTATACATAAAATATTTCGCGGCCGCACTTAAGCCCTCAATGAAGCAACTACATACTATGTTCGTCTCACCATACAAGTCAATTATATTTTTAAGCTCTTGAATGTAATTATTAGTTAATAATAAAATGGAGAAATCATAATTGATATGCATGATCATGAATAATATTTTTCCACGTCTCCTTGAGCGAACCTCACCTCCTCACACTCGCAAACCATAACATAAAGAAAGACAAAGAAAGCGATCGCATACCATGAAGCGCGCCAAGAACGCCAAATTCGGCGTCGCACCAACATTTTGCACATAACAAAAATATCTTACAACATGCTTGAATGCAACCATGGGCCGTGAAGCGCACAAATAAACATTCAATGTGAACATTTATTAGCGAATTGCCTAAGAACTAGATATTTGCTTAAGAACCAGCGACAATAGAACAGGAAACAAAACTGAATTTTTCTACCGCAAGTACCCGCACTCGCGTGCACCTAATTTGTAAGGCTCTTATGTGCTCACTTACATATATAAGCGCTTGTGGACCTTGGCAATGCACTTCAAAGGCAGCCATAATTTCAGACTTTTGGCGTCTGGTTTGGCATTGTAAATTTCTCTTCGGTTTCTGTTCTCACAAATATGTTTAAGTGAGTACTGCATGACGACTAAATTATATTGGCTTTTCTTATGACTTTCCGCACTGATGTGCGGTTCGGTCGCATTTTTGGCGAATTGATTTGGCAAGTGCCTCGTCTCGGCAGCTAGGGAATTCGATGAATGCTTTCGACTCTTCTGCGTGCAATGGTACTAGAGTGCTCTCGCATTATAAAGTAATGAAATATTAGTGAACGTAACAAAGAACAAAAATTGTAAACAAAGAGAATTACAGGTTAACACTTTAGCGGACTTTCAAATTCCAAGACATCGTCGCTATAAAACATATATTGACGAGATATTATCGCTGGAGTCTCATAGCTGTACCAATAAGACCCACCTGCTATCGTTAACTAAAACATTCACATGTTTATCTGTATACCTATTTACTTATATATATGTATATAGCAAATTCACCTGCTGAGAGCTTCGATTGGTCGATTGGATACCATAAATGCCAGCGACGACTTCACATGCACTCAGCTACCAAAAAACAATCATAAAATCCGATGGCGTGAGGAAATGAGCAGCAAAATGTTTTACAACAACAAACACAATAATAAAAATGTCAACAATGAGGTTTTCAACGTCTGCTTGTAGCTCTGCTGGTATTGATTGTACAAATATTGAAGACAGTCAGCCTTCTTCTGCATTGACGCACATCACATCATTAATAATGCGGTGTAATTTCCTTTCTTTTCGTGTCCATACTGGCATTGCGCACTTTTATGTCTTGTACACTGGCGGCATACACATTGTATGTGCTTAATAATTGATGTATTCGCCGGGCCTAGTGCTCATATGAGTTTATAGGTGGACTTTAGATATCAGTAGATACTGCTATATGTATTTGCAGTTATGTTTCATAATTGATTTCTCTGTACTAGATTAAATACAATTAAAAATTTAATTATCTGCGAGCCTGGAAATATAAACTTTATTTTTAAGGAAAAACTGGAAGAACCCTCAATTTCGCCATGATCTCTTTGTTGCTGATGTTGCTTTATTAGTACAAATGACTTTGATTGCTGCCACGTTGACAGTGCTTGAATGGGTCGTTGCGGTTAATCAGGCGCAACTATCGTGGTGTCGTATATTTCTGTATTATTATTTTAAGTTTTCTAAATTTTTTACAATAAATAAATTTGTTCAAGAGCTCTTTTTAAGATTCATTGTATGAATATTGCGAGAATTGTACACAACGTGTATTATATATGTACATATATATTTTGTCTTCGTTACATTTTTCATTAATTTAGTTTTGTTTTTGTGAATACCAACAACAGTAAGAAGAACATGCAGAAAATGAAAAATGTATTCAAAAACACAATGCACTTTTCGAATTCATTTTAGAATACACTTGTTGTCCACATTGCCCTTGAATCAGAACTTGTGATTTGTAGATCGTGACAATGATATTGAATTCCTTTCATTTGTAAGTATGCCAAATTTCATTTCTGCTCGCACATCTTACACGACTATAGACTAGTTAACCCTTGGATTGGATTTATTCTAATAAGTCGCTTTTCATTTTCTAGGTAAGAAATGGAACTGGGCTAAAGATGAAAGATGAAAAATATGTAACGCTACTTTTTATGAAAAAAAAATATTCAAAGTTTTATCTGAATCTCGACCGCTAACCGCAATTTTGCTAATTTTGAATCCAAGCTGAAGCTACCACTGTCAAGTTTTAATTTTAGTTTCCCCACAAGCACAGCAGAGGCCATCGCAGTTATATCAGAAGGCAAACATAACTCAACCACATCACTTTCGCACGAATTAGAAATGTTAACTTATCTCCTCGAAACAGCAAACATTTTCTGAGTGCTCTGGAAGTTGACGTGAGTGGTATTTATTTCGTATTCTCTTGGATGTGTGTGTGTGTTTATGTGCCTCTACACATGTGAGCAAATAGAAGTGGAAGCAAAACCCAAAAGTGGTTAGATTTTACTACAGAGAGAAGTAGACGTGTTGATTGTTATTGAAAAAAGTTTCTAGATTTTAGCAAGTTTACCGCATCACAAGAAATAGTCGATAATAATCGATATTCAATTAATAAAATCAACGCATTATGTAATAGTCTAAAGGCATAGACTCCGACAGGTTTGCGTGAAATCGTTCAGCATATTAACTTACTGTCTCCAGTGTTATTCCCATTGAGTGGTTCTTTCTGCAATTTTCACTCGAATACGTCATCAAATCCGTCAGAATCAAAGTATTTGTCACACAAATATTACTCATACGCTCAGGTGCGTAATTTGCGGTATGGAAATGCCTGAACGATTGTGTGTGTGATGTGGCTGACATGCATAAAGCCATTGCATGAAGAGGTGCAAAATGCATGAGCACGTATTTATAGGCACTTTAGTATACTTTTTATGTGTGAATAAATTTTTAGCGACAAATTTGTGTATGAAGGCAATTTAAAGCATAAAGAATAAGAAACACATTAAGGTGGCTCTTAATTACCATCAGAAAACTTTACTTCTTACAGTAGTTCATTTCATTGGAAGTAGACATATACCTGTATAATTTATAGCATGGAAGAAGAGAAGGTGAAACAATTCGTAGAGAATCAATCTTTTTCAAAATGAGGAGATCATCTTTATTTTTTTTAAATTTCTATGAAATCTTAATTACAATTAGTTTTTAATAATGAAAAGGAAAAAAATGCAGTTGTCAAAAAGGAGCACCCTCATGTACGAGTATCTGCATTATTAGAAATAAATTTAACATTTTACAACACTTTTACGAGAGAAGTTTACGACATTTTTATATGCCTCTTTCCAGTGATGATTTTATCAGTTCTCATTGCCGACGCTAGTTAATGGTTGGGGCTATGTAGAGACATGAAATCCCAGATGTGAGTATATATTAAAATAGAAATAATAACGGAGAATACTTCAACGCAATACAATACGTAATTTTGCAAAGGAATCGCTCTGAAGACATAAATCTCAACAGGTTGCAAAGTACATATTATATATTTAGAAAAGGAAAATCTTACGGGATTCGGCCAATTCGTTTCTTCTTGTTTAGAATAAGCAGAAATTGGGACTGAAAACTTGAAAAGTAGAAAAACTTAACTGCACTTCATTAATAGGGGTTATCTTTCTTCTGAAATTATAAATAAATTAAACTATCGCAATATTTTCCATATAAATTCAACACTAATGCAAAGGCTACCGCAACTTGTAGTGGCTTCCATTTCTGCTTTATTGAAGCCTAGGATTATAAAAAAATATAATCCACCCAGCACATTTATTTATATTTGGCGGCACATTCCCAATAATATGAAGAAGACTTTAGGGGTACAATACAAATATAAATATCGTTGTGAAAGTTAAATGAACTCTGCATCATGAATTACTTTCCAATAAACTCACAAACACACAAGCACATGTGTGCATGAGGGGACCAGGGCGTAGGTATCTTCGCTTTATATATTAAATAAACATTTCAGTCAACGGCGACAGCTGTAAGTGACAATAAGCAGCAAACTGCACACATACACTCAAACACACACACACATTATACAACGCGAAGAAATATATAATTTATTAGATTCCAATGTTTCCCCACATTGTGCAGTATAATTCCCCAGAGCCCGCAACTTTACCAACAAATCGTCCACATATTTTCTTAAGCATTTCTACTTTCCCCTTGCCTCCCTCGTACACAAACAAGATGTTCACTCACCATTTAATCCAGTGAAATGTTTTTTTAAAACTGCACGACTTTCGCGGAGCTGACGTCAATGTCGCACTGGCAGATGCTTTCGCTTGTATTTGTTGTTGTTGTTGTGGAGCAGACAGCTGAGCGACACATTTACGCGACAAGCACACGTACGCCAACAAAGTGCTGGGTGGTAAGAAGAAGTGGGAGTTAAGGAAGAAGGCGAAGCGAACGGAGCGAGTTAATCAAATAATTTATATTTCTCTCGTCGTTTTCTATTTATTTTATGTAACGGTATTTCAAAAACAAATGTTGTATTTTTACTTTCTAAAACTATTTTCACATCATTGTTCAGTTTTCGCTTTTGCTCTTGCTACTTCCATTGATTTATTGCAATTTTCCATACATTCGTCTCGCTGCTTAAGTGCCTTGTGTTTGGATACACTGCTTAGCGCCGCTGCTGCTGCTCCACACACGTTTCGCAAAGGACGCTGTCGACTTAGGCGTTGTACTTTTGTTTTTGTTGTTGTCTGCCTGCTAACACTTATCACACACTTCAAGTTGATTTATTTGCCAAACATACACAAAATACAAATTCAATAGTTGCGTCGAAAACGAAATACTGCTCGCCACTCAACTTGCTTTTTTAATGCTTAGCAAATTTTTATTCCATCTTAATTTTGCTCTCACATTTTTCACACTTATTTATTTTAACTTTTTTTTGTTTTTTTTTTTTTTGTTTTGGAAAAACGTTTTTTGCTCTTCACTCGTTGACTTTCAAATAATCTTATTTTTCGAAAAACAAAATATTCAGCAATATTCACCTTTTACTCTAATAAAACGCATAAAAAATGTCTTTAGCACTTCAACAGCTCATTGACGCGATTACGTTACGCGCGGAATCGTGGGAGGCCATTGGTGATAGCTGTTCGTTTGGCCGCTTTGCGCGAGGATGGCGACGGCGGCGTGTTGCTTCGACCGGACTATTGCAAGTGATTATGCAGAGGGAGTAGCACTTATGAAGTCAGATCGAGCCGAATGCAACGATATCCATTGAAGAAATCCTGGAAGCCCATTGCCACAAAAACCTAACAAAAATTTCGCCATAACAATATTGTCTACAGAATTTAGAAACCTGGGGATATTCAGTACAAAAGTTGTTAATTTAGGTCTGGAGTTTTCGATTTCTGAATTTCAATAATAAGGGAACTCTTTTATTACTTATTAATACCACATTTATATATCTGCCCTTCTAAGAAATCCAGCTGCAAGAAAAACAAAAGCAAAGTAATTTAAAAGTGACTACACTAATCTAACTTAATTTATATGAGTAGCATTTCTTGCTGAGGAAACATTTTTTTCCAAAATCTAAATTTCTCACATTGTCCACTTTGAACCGTGCCATTTTCTTAAAATATCTTGCAGTGTGTTTTTCTTAGCTCTTCGGCGGATTTATATAACAATTTGTCAATTGGTTTTTGGTTTCTCTTAACAAGTCAATGAATAGTGATTACTTTTGTGAACTCCACAAAACAATATCGTCAACACCCTATATTTATTTTATCAATTTCCACCACAAACTGTTGTGTGGAGCAAATGAAAATTCTGGGAACGCAAAAAACTCTTTTCGATTCAAAACCCGTGCACTGTTGCTATCCCCTCTTCCTCACTTTGATTATTATTTATTTTGTTTGTTATTGTATTCGCAGCTTATTCGCGCTGGTCGCGTTCGCTCGTTCGTTCGTTCCAAGTGATCTCAGCAGCGAAATTAGACTGAGCCAGTTGAAAAGCATTTTGACAATTTTCGTTGACAATTTTCTCAATTTCCCGTAAAAGCACACAAACACACGCACACAATTATATACAAATTTCTGTATATGACTAGGTGCTTATTGAAATTTGCACTTCGCGTCGGTTAACTAAGATTATCTGGGCACGCAGCTGTCGATTTCTTATTTCACTATTGTCAGTTTTTGCTCTCACAATATTTTTGACTGCACCATCTTAGTCCCACCCCTTCCGCGTGTACTGACACACACATATGCACATGTAGCATTATGTGCAACAAAGGTAGCGGACTCTCCGGGCGTATAAGTAACCTTCACCGTCTCATTCTCATGCCATACTTATGAATTTATGATATTCTATGGCTTTTGACTTGATTTTGACGCCTTGACGCTTGTGACGTTGCACTCGTTCGTCACTATGACGTCACACTATTAACTCAAAGCATGTTCGAGTATTTATTTTTGTAATTGTTGTTGGCTGTTGGTTGGTTGTAGTTTTTTAATTTTCTTGTTGTTGTTGCTTTTGATGTCACAACCGAAACGCGCATTAACGACTATCGCAACGTGCGCCAGGCCTATATTTAGCCAGCACTCACTGGGCGCCTTCGCTTCGCAAAGCAGCTGTTTTTCGCGAGTTGCCGCGATTGTCGCTTATTTTTTACTCGCGCACAAATTCAATCATCAAATTTACATTATGCATTATTGATTTGTTTTTTTCTGTAGTCTTGTTATTGTTGTGGTTGCAATTCTCTTTAACACTTTTCAAGTACTCTTTTCATCATTATCATTTGCTCATTACCTCTCCCGTTGTTGTTGCCGGCTTCTTCTTTTTTGTTATTGTCGTTTTTGCTTTGCTGTTTGTGTTGTTGTTCTCATGGCTGTCGTTTGTTTCTGGGACTAATTTTAGAATTATAGTCTTAGCTGTGCGGTTGCCTTCGCCAGCGATGAGTGCACATCGAATCTGAAAAAAAATAATACAAGGGTTACAATGGGTTGCAGATATACATACTTGTATACAAAAAATATAGAAATTGATATATTGAATAATATTAGTTAAAAATCATTAATCGTTAACTCCGACGCTATACAAAAATTAGCTTCGTTTGAGCTTCTGCGTTAAGGGCACACGTAGTGTGAAATTAAAAGTACATCTATTTTTTTTTTAATTTTTGCTATGTGATAGAGAATAGTTTTCAACCACAGCGCAACCGTTCAGTTCACTCAGTTTAATCTGTTTATCTTTAAACGCGATTTTTCCAAAACTTTTTCAAATGTAGTTGAGGGCTACTATCAAACATCTAATTTTGACAGGCCACGAACACCTAAAATTTTAGATAAAACTCATTTTTTTTTTAAACGCCGCCATTTTGTCAATTTGTGATTTTTTTTGGTCAAATCATACACACAATAACTTCTGATAGAGCATTTTTGTTTTACGTTTCATGCACAAATAGGGCCGGAATCACTTTTCTGAGCACCGTCAAAGATCGTGTGTAACTAAAAAAATTAAATATTTTCTTAAGAAAAATTTTACTGTGTATTTTTAAAATATGTATAAATATACCCTTAAAATTTTAAAAAAATAATACAGTAGTTTTTTTTTAATTCCCAAAAATCATCTCTTTTAGGCAATCACACAAGTTGTGCCCTTTATGGCAGACCCGCTAACAACCGTTTATGTAAAAAAGATATACAAGTATATATGGTATATCCGCGCTTAGGATCTGTGGGCATTTAATAGCATAACGTGAAGTTATCCACACGACCGCTTCAAACTTTAAAAATCCCCACAAAGCACTCAGAAATCGGCATTGTCATTTGCATATAATATTACCTACGCCACCTGACCCAGCTTTTACAAAACCAAAGTAAAGGGCAAATGTAAGCAAAAAAAAAAACATAATGCAATAAATTGTATACATTATTTTGTCAACATTTTGCAGACAACCAAGGCAAGAATTTGTCATTTCTCTCATTTATGTACTTATATATTCATATATAGTTATATACTGTACGAGTATGTAGAAAATTTGTGCTCATTTATTCATGTTTTCATTGCCCTCTCCCACTGACAGCGAAACAATGAAATGTCATCTGCATAATACAAATTACTTAACGTTTAAATATACCAAAAAAATTTTAATACACCCACTAGGGAAATCGGACCTATTGTGTTGACAATGACAGCAGTTGGTACAGTCTTACAACTCTGAGCACTTAAAATCACACTCCTGGATTCAAATCACAAAACCAAACATTATAGAACTAAATTACCGCCGATCAGTTATAACTCAATTTTAGTAAAGACACGAACCTAGTAAGGTATCAGCCGGGTTATCTACCTGAAACGCAAATGCTCTTAATTTACAGCTTGGTCTAAATGTTTTCCGGTCGGGGCGTCATATAATATAATATGTACATGTGTGCTTAATACTAGGTAAATCTTCTATCCGGACGTTAAGGCATCCTAAATAATGCAGTAAATAAGATCATCACCTTCAATGCATCAGCACCTTCTACCGCAACGTCGAAAATTCGTGTCGCCCAAAACATTTTTGCAAATATTTTAGATATTTAAAATGAATTTGTTATAAAAATCGTTATATAACAGAGAATATTTTACTTTACTCTGCCTTTGCAAGTAATAGAAATAAATTACAATTCATAAACATTCACTAAATTTATCCACCTTTATTCCCAAAGCATATCTAGTAATAGGTACAGTCCAACGGTCAGACGGAAGCGTCTTTTACCTAGACTCTGGATTCTATTGTACCCTACTGCCGCCATTAGAACTGTAAATACAAACACTTTTGCCACCAAAGGAAATTTTGCTATAAAACTGCTAGAACTTATATCTTATTTATCAGCATAGAGGAGAAGAAGTATGAGAAAAAGAAGAAGCAATACTGTTAAAGCTACTGCCACTGCGCCATAAATCTATGTGCATCTTGTTATTACATTTCTGCATGTTGCATGCCACAAAACCTATTGTAAGATATATTTCTTAGCAACTTCATGGCTGTTGACACAGCCACAGCAACTTCAACAGCTGCAACGACCACATTCTACCGTGCTATAACTTTTATTTATATTTTTATTCCTTTCACATTGCACTTCCTACTCATTCGCTGTCTTGCCCTTGTGTCGGTAGCTCTATGGATGTAGCTACTTCTAGTTACATTATGCTCGTTACTTACCGCCAACACCTTCGGCATAGCGCTTTCCGACACCCGCGCACACCGCGCTCTCCATTGGTATTGTTGAAAAATATTATTTTCATTAGCAACACAAGTTGCAACATATTTATTCACAGCATTCCACAGTGTAGCAGCACATAAAAGTCAACACTTATTACATTGCATAGACATAACTAACTTGCAACATACGACAACATGCGGCAACATCGTGGCGATATGACTCCACAATGGCCTTTATAGCCACCAAGTAATGTTGCGAGACAGTAACCACCACAACAACAATATGGTATATGCTTTAAGTACCACAATGTGCTACCGCAGCTTTTTAACCTTCGAGCAAATGTGTTTAAGCCATCAATACAAATGGTTTAAGTAACAAAGCGGCCGTGCCACTTGGCAGTGTGGCACTATGGCACTGCAACAGGCCACCAGAAGTGTACTTTGTGTGGATAAGAACTTTTCATTTTCACATTGAAATAATGGTGCGGCTTGATTTTTATGCTGCGAAAAGAACACTGAATAGAGAACACCCGCCATTATAGAGAGGTGCAAACTATCACTTCAGCAGACCGAATTCTTTTAATTGCCGTGTTTTTTTTCCGACATATTTACAATTGTTCAAAGAAATTCCAAATTACAATCTCCATTAAGGTATTGCAAAACGCAAACAGCAATTAGCTACTAATTTGTTATTCCAAACCGACTATTAGTGGATTTATTGGCATGAAACTAATTCCCGCTCTAGCGCATGAATAGTTTTAGGTTTAACGGGTATTTCAGATAAAATTCAATCCTGCGTAAACATTTTCTTCGCGGTAAACAACAATAACATGGGAATATTTGAA